ATAACAAAAATATTGAATTCTTATACAATTATTATTGTGATGAATAGATATCTAGTAGACTGGAGGTTATATTTGTTAAATATATGTATTTAAATATGTATCTATAAATAAGCAAAATGTAATCATTTTAAGTGACAATAATATGTGTGGTTTTTGGATTAAACGAAATAAAGGTTTACTTTTAGCATTTGGAAATTAATATATCAATTAAAAAACAGAGAAAAACACCAGGTGTAACATATAAATTGTCTGAGATAAATTACTCATATGATTACTTATCAGTTATCACTAAGTACACGTTTACGCGAAACGCAAGCACTTGGAAAATTGCCTATATTAAACTCCTTATAAAATATGGTCCACCTATAGTATAACACCAACCATAATAAAATTATTAATTAGCCATGAAAATTATTTTTTGAGGACAAACAAACTTACGAAAGCAGTGTCAGCAGTCGATTTACCAAATTCACATTATACATAGAGATATATTTATATTGTTTTTATTATCCAAAGTATTTTTAGTTTTGTTTTTATTAATAACTTAGAGACGACCCAAACTACTCATTCCTAAAGATTCATTTGTTTTATATCATTATCATTTTGTTGTTTTACAAATTAGTTATAAGTGACTGGTGAATATTGATATGAAAAAAAATCAGTGACGCAGATACAGTTATCTTCTATGTAGTGTGGACATTTGATAAATCTATCACTCGTCAGCCACCTAATCGTTTTTCTATTTAATCTCGTTTGTACGCAACAAACATTTTTTTTACTGACATGAGACGATTTTTTAAATATTTTCAATTATTATTTAAATATATTTAAGATTTAAAATGTCAATTCAATAAAAAAGGTCATTAAATTTGCCCATTTCAAGCCCCTTAAAATTAAAACAGTAGGTTTGTCATCTCGATACTATATAATATTATGCTTAAACATTTTTCAGGAACAAATGTATAGGCAATACAAAATATCCGTATGTTTATTTGTTAGTAGTTCTTATAAAATTTAAACTAATCAGCAATTGAACCGACAATTTTAAACTCTAATAATAATTTTATTTTCTTATACTTTGCATTCTTCAAATATCACAATTTAGAACACAAACATTACGTACTTAATCATATCGGTTGAGTTGTAATCTATTTAACCTAAATACTCGACTATTACAGTATTAAGTATAATACAACTATTGTCTATACTCTATAGTATACCGAATAGACTACAGCAGATTATAGAATATTACTGTGAGACATTCGGATTAAATACCACTTGAGGTATTTGCGGGTAGGGATACCACATGTCCACATTACCACCATTATACCACCAACCAAGATAGATGCCGAATACCTGTTGAATCAATATTTAAATTTTATAATAACCACACAATTTTTTTTGCTTATGCTGTGATTTCCAGATACTTCAACTACATATATTTTTACATTTTATGTAATTTTTAGTTTTTATATTTTTACTCAATAAAATACAATCTGAGTAGGATGAAATAGCCGATTCGAAAACCTGGTCCCTGGTACCTAGTTCCTGGTCCCCTGCTCGGGGACCAGGGACCAGGTTTTCGAATAGACTATTTCATCCTACTAATCTGTAAAATTGTTGTACAATAAGTATTTCAGTTTTTCGACACAAAGGTCATAAATAACGTGATAGAAGTATATGCACATCCATTGGCGATACACAGATATCTACTCAGTGCCTAGGAAAGAATAGCTTATTTTTATAAGCATATAAAATGTGTTTTTGGGCTTGATACGACATTTCTTTTTCCAACCAAATTATTTCTTATTATCCCAGTTGCCATGGTGACCAAACAATAACAAAGATAGAATTAATGTTATTTATAAGGTTATAGTACCTAGGGTTTTCTCTAGTAACCAAAGAATAATATAATTACTTTACCAAAGTAACCAAACCCCCCCCCCTTCTCCTGAAATCTGTAGGATACTATTTTTTTCTCGTAATCAGATTTTTCGTAAGATTGACTAGCACGAGTAGCAAATGTGTTTGGCGCCAAACGCATAAGTGGAACTATACGGCTTGGGCCAAGTTGACCCAGACTAATCTCAACTAGTAATAATGTATACAGTAGGTAGAAGGGACCTAAAAAATAATTGATAATAAGTATAAATGTTCAAAATAAATATTATCATGATTTATTTCTTAGTAAAACAATTTATCATTATTATAAAGCCAAAATTATTATCAGAAGTATCTGAAATTCTAAACATAGTACCTATTTATTTAAAAAAAATTGAAATATAACGTAAAACGCAAAAATTATATTATAGTGTTTTATTTATATTTTGTTATCATCTTCGCACATCTTAAAGGTCTCCATTATAATAGTGTAGGTACTATATAAGTAACAAATTCAGTGTTTTTACATACAGTGTATTGAATAAAGGTAATAATTAGACTTCATTTAATTTCTAAACTTCTAGGATCGTCTTGAAAACGGACGCTCAACACTCAAGTAAACAATAATCAATATCGATCGATCGACCTATCGACAATCTACGAAAGTACCTACGCGACATAATGATAATGAACCGGTGAATAGAAAAATAATACTAAATAATATATACAATGTTGAAAAATTATGAACCTAAATATAATGCTTATTTTTTAATTTTCTAGGTTAAAAATGTTAATACGATAATCCCAAAACTATTAAATAGTTGATATCCGCTGCCATTCCGACTCGTGATTGAGATTAGTTATTTTAAATATTCAAAAAATATATAAAACTAAACGCTGTACTACGGTAGTACTATTTCAGTTCCACTATTGCCTACAGCATTTTATTATTATTATTATTATTATTATTATTATTATTAACGAATAATAAAATATGTTATACAATATATAATATATAATTATATAATATTATTAGTTTAGTTTTTAAATAAAAAATCATAATTAATACAAATTTGCAATAATGAATCTATACAAATTAACAAATATATGAGTTTATAATTACACTTTTCTCGCTTATGGTATTTTCGTCATAGCCAAGGGAGTCGTGAAGGTACAGTGTGCATTGTTTAGGTATACCATAATATGTAGCCACATGTTTGACATATTCATGGTGGATCTTTTTTCATAAAATAATATTTGTATATTTTTTATTTGTGTACTTAGTATTTGCCATATTGTGTATAGTGCTTATGACCAATTCTAATTTCTAATACAACTTTATCTCTTCGGATGAGTGTCTCTGGTTTGTTCCATTTTTAGTTATTCTTTTTATTTTATTTTGTTTATTGCCAATGTTTAACCATTTATTTTTTAATTGGTTGTTGATCATTTTTTTAATGTCATTAACCAAGCTTTATCTCATAGGTTGTTCTTGGTTGTTTGCTTTTTCTTTGGTTTCACTATTTAATTTCCAATATTATTTCACAGTATATTGGAATCAATTAAAAAATTATATTATTGTTAATTTTATTTGCCCTATTAACGATTTTAATAACAATTATATTACCGTTATTACTATTAAAAAGGCTGTGAGTATTCATAATTAACCACTTACGTGGAACCTTGTTTACAATTTTAGATCCTTAGCTGTAAAAGTTAGAATATTTACACATTTTTAGCTACAAAATAATTTATACATTTTGTCAAAATTTGAATTTTATGATGCATATAAAAAAACGTGCATATGTATTTTTTATACTATAGGTACTGTGGTAACAGTATATCAGAAACATTGGAATAAAGTTCAAGCTTTTTGACCTAATGAAAAAAATTTCATTGACATTAACAGAAAAAAAAGATAAACAAATTTAAAGCTGAAAATGTCAATAAACAGCTAAAAAAGAGTCAAAATATTAAAAAAATGTATCACATATAAGAAATAATAGAATAAACATTTGATGTAAATTTCAAGTATCTAAAGTTTTTAGTTTTTAAATTACAACAAAATAAGAAATGAGAAATCGAGTGCATGCTGTAAAAATTTGAACTTCAAAAGCTCATAAAAATTTAGTTTGACTTTTCGGTAGACTCGTTGTTTGATAAAAATAAATAAACTTATGATAAATCTTGGATTAAATTTTAAAATCTTAGATATTAAATTAAATTTCTTATGAATAATAATTTTCAATTTTTCGTGATTTTTACCAATTTTGTCAAATATCTAAATCCATTGCTCATAAAAAATTGTTGTGGATTTACGTTTAACTTTTTTTTAAATTTCCATTAATAACAACTCATGATGGATCTTGTAATAAATTTTCATGTTATTTGACTGAGCAAAAATTTTTTTATCGATATTAGTAAAAAAAAAAAAACTACTAACAATCAAAAATTTCATATGCCTATAAATAGTTCAACATGAGTAATTCACCAACTAATTTCACTTTCCAACCAGAAAAGAATACTGAAATTAAAAATCGAAGCATTATTTCGACTATATATCGCGTAAACAGACAAAAAAAAAAAATAATAATAATAATAATACTAATAAAACACTTATTACTGTAAAATCAATAAAACAAATGTTAAATTTGCAGCTTAAAAGAAAAAAATATTACTTCATTTTTATTTATTAGTCAATGACAAATACAAATTGTAAAGGTAGGTTTCAAAATAAAAATAAAAATAACAATTTAAAATTAAAATTGTTTTCCCTCAATTTACCTAATATTCCAAGGTATACGCCCCTTTATTATTACTCGTATAGGAGTATAGGACAGCTTATTATTAACTGCTCAGTAGTCAGAAGTGATATTATGTAAAAACCGAAAAATCTTTACCCTCCTCATAATGACAATATGAATGTATAATATTGTATAATATAGTATGGATGTACGAATAGTACGATGGTATTGAAATATAATAATAATAATATGACGACACGGCGGCGCATCGTTACACAAACGCGGCGCTTGCGCGGGGCCGACTGGCAACCGGTACCGCGGACTGCGGCGCGTGCGATCAGCTGTTTCGACACCCAACGACGTCGAGTACAGCAGTTCTGCGTTCAGTAATCAGTAGTCTCGTCGCCACCGTCTTGTGAGCACGTTTTTGCAAGAGTTCAATTGCCCGCTCGATGTGTTTTAATATTTAATATAATATTTAGTGAGACACGTCGACGACTTGGACGACGCTAAAACCCGACCAAATCTGTTGTGACAAAAGTACCGTCGGTACTCCGCCTTAGCTGTGTTCGTGTAACCGAAATTCGTATTGGTTTTTTTATTGGTTTTTTTTCAAAAACCTTCCGAAAACGCTGATAACAGAGTCTCGACAACGACGACAGGTCGTCTATCGTTGGTGTTTTGTCGGTCGGCCGAACCGAACCAAATTGCACAACGGTGTCGACTAGTCTTTCTCACGATGAATCTGATGTGCACAGAGTCGCAGACAGCGTCCGAAGACAGGTGTTTCGCCGAGGATCGGACCATTTTCCGGGACGAGCGAGCCGTCAAGAAGCTGTTGGAAACCGAGTCGCAGTACGTACCCGGGTGCGATTACATGGCTCACTCCCATTCCAACTTGCAGCCGTTCATGAGACGGGTGGTGGCCACGTGGATGTTGGACGTGAGTTGTTTTCATTTATTATCGTCATCATTAAAAATGAAATACATCAACGACGGCGGGAGCTTATCGTCATCAACATTTGCCGAGGAATGTGTAAATTTTTTCGGTGATAAGTCTCGTGTCACGAGCTGCAGCAATACTAAACCGCTGATTGCTACACCAGCTGAGTGACCTTTTTTCCCCCTTCCCTCTAAATTTTTTTTCTCTAGATAACACAGTATTTCGATTGATACACAAAGCTCTCTTGTGTTGTTTTTCACTCTACATTATATCACAATATATTACTAATATATTATTAATATTCATAATATACCACAACACCCGGATTAAAAACTGAACAAAACCAACACAAAAAAATATAAAGCTCGTCCAAACCTGTTTCGGGTTGGAAAAATGTCCACGGGTATAAAAATTAAATTATGCAAGCTACCAATAAAAAAAATACATGTCCGTGTTGATTTTCCAACCGAGAAACGGCGAAATAAGATACATATTAATTTGATGATACAAGTTTCTTACCTAATGTGAAGGAATAGTAGATTTTAGATGTCTGTGACTGAGATTCGTATGTTTTGTCAGTGATTGATCTATGGAGGCCATATTTGTATATTCGGTATGGACTAAAAAACAATAAAATCATTTATAACATGAACATAAAAAATTGTTTATCCACCCAAGTCCCAATGAAAAAGTCCTAAATCCTTCACTGGTTTGTCACCAAAGCGACGGAGTCGTGTTATGCATAATATTTTGATTTTCGATTTCCGATTGGCGGCGAATCCTTGAAATCTAGACGACTTTGTATTGTCGACGTTTATCGTCTGTCAATCAATATTAAAATATGTGCAGCATAAATAATATTACTATTATTACGACGAGTTCGTGGCAAAAACAATAATACTTACTCGATAATAATAATATCAATAATAATAACAAAAAAAAATCTCCGTAAAACTACGCTTATATATATTATACCTGCATATATATTATATGGTAGTATTATAGTACCTATAGCAGGTACACGTGGACTACGCGTAATTTGAATACGGTCACTGCATAGAAACTGATGCATTATTTATGCCGCAATAACCATAATAAATGTACTCATGGTTGTGGTGAGGATTTGGGGGGGTGACGGGGTACGTACCGTGTGAGAACGCGTACCTATAACATAGGTATGCATATTATATAACATATATTCAACTATACAGAGTGATTCACCGCAAGCAGGCTTACCCCTGTTTCCCCTTAATTACATATTTCTTCAAAATATTCTGATTTTTGAAATTTTGTAAGTATCATACTTTAGGATCATATTTTCAATTACTTTGACTTTATTCTATCATTCAATGAGTATTCAGTTGGAGTGCCAACTTTTTTTTTCAAACGAGAATCAATCTATTTTTAGTGTAAATTGTTGAACAAATGAATTTGTTAAATACAATTTAATTTTAATTTTATCTCGATTTTGATTTATTCAAGTCGAAATTCTGACTAGTATATTAGTATAACTACTATAACTAGTATAGTTTCCAAGTTTTTAAAATTATATACTGAAGGATAATGGTCCTTAAAATGATTTAAGAAAAATATGAAATAGATGTTTAACTGTTATAATACTCCCGGTTTGAAATTCAATTTAGAAACATCAATATTTTCGACAAATTCTCATTTGAAAATAAAGAGTTTGTACATCCACTTAAATAGTATGAAAATCCAACTATTTTAAAAAAACGGTCCTTAAGTTTTGAACATTTACTAAAAAATTCCAAAAATCAGAACTTGAATAAATTTAATTATTAAAAGAAAAGTTTGGGATGCGCATGTATAGCTGTATTTATAAGCATTGGAAACCGCATAGTACTATAATTGTATAGCTATAATAAAATAATTCATAGAAATATACTATAAAATATTATGTTTTTATTAGGCTAGATAATTGTTATTAAACGATCTAACTTTTGATCGTGAATATGTCGACGTACTCAACAAAGATGGAGTAAAGAAGTAGCTTTCAGTTCTTTTTGGATAGGTATGTCGTACACTCTACCTTTGTGATAATGAAGTTTTCTTGTGGCAAAAACGGCAGCAACTCTTTAACTTCTCAACTCCGAGGTTGTAAACTAAACTAAATATTATGTCATCCGAATTTCGGGGTTTACTGGCTAACGTAGGCTATAAATCAGTCTTAAAAATGGTTCATCTACGAGTCTACTACCTTTAATACTTGTTCCTTTCTTCGTTTGTTCATTACATTTTTCTTACATAGGTACGAGCACGTCATCTATTTCCATATCATTTACCAGTGTACGGTGCCGCGGGTTCGGGTTCCTCTATTATTAAAATATACTAATTAACGTTTGTGAAGCATATACACGACTACGCATAAGAGAGGTGCGGTCTAAGGTACGGCGGAAAATCGTTCGCATAATACCTACGCTCAAGAATGTGACGACGACGACTTGACGTCGCAGTTATTGTAATATTCATATAATATTATTATGTATGTCGTATCATATTGTGTATAGGTTAGAAATAGGGTGGTATTCTAATCGCCTTGCTCTGTCCAACACGTTTCCAAGTACTTATAAGTTATATTATAGTATACAATGATGTCTGAAAAGTGCTATAGATGACCGAAGGCTTGTGAGTTATGATCGCATGATCTTTTTTCAATTCGACCAGTATAATAATGAAGTGGTCCTTCGTATTATACATATTTAACAAACGACTGACATGCAAGTAATTTTACATAATAATAAAAAAATAAAGCGTCTCCCAACGACAGTCTGATGGTAATTACATCTACATTGATGTTTCGATTTTTTAGTAAAAATAAAATAATGCATGACCCTTAGTATGGGTATTAATTAGGGCTAGGGATTTCTATAAAATAACATAGCTAAGAAAATATGCTTCATAATACTTAACAACAATTTTATTTTTACATGTCTTCAGGGCCCTAACTGGAAATTAATTTTGAGGTGGGGGGGGGGGTGTAATATTACACATTTTGGTAGTTATATATTATGTGTATAATATTAACAAGACATGTTACCACAGCAATCTCAAAAGGGGTGGGGGGGGGTTCAAACCAGATACGGCCTTGCATGTCTTACTTTTTCATTTTATAAGTGCACATTTTTTTAAATTAGTATGGTGTATGGTATCATATTAAAATAACATAATGTTGAATAGTACTTCTTATCAGGTTTTTATTATCATTGTCATTTTCAAATATTTTTAATATGTTTTTAGTTTCTCCAGCGCATGTCCGCGTTCTTGAGTTATTGTACTGTATCTCTATTTGGTTTACACTACTGATAATAATTGTTATAAGTGTTCTCGATAAAAACAAACCGTGTGTGGATCTCACAGACGGGTGATGATAAAAAAAAAACGGTGTTTTTATGTAATTATCTTTTTTCATGTTTGTACACATTATACCATAATATTATGTCAACTGTATAAAATGTAATAAAACTATTCGGTTAATTTTTTCACTTCTTATGTTTTTCTAAAAGCTTTAATAGGTTCAATGACACTTAAGATATTCAACATGTACCTCTCAGCATTAGTAATTTTGTGCATCGTTGTACATAACAATATGCCACAAGTCATAGTAACTGCACACATTTTTATTTTTGTCATACGAATAAATAAATAAAAATGTTATTTCGATAATAACAATTAAATTATACAGTTGAAATTAGTTGCACCATAAAAAGAAAAATGAATTGAAATGAAAATATAAATTAACTTTAAAAAAAAAAAATGAAGTAAACTTTAGCTTCATGCATTGACACATGATAATCGCATACTTCTAGTATGTTCTATATAATTATTACTAACACTTGAATAATATCCGACATCTGTTATTTGGACTTTTTGGTTTTTACTATGTATTTTAATGTTTTATTATTATTTTTTTGTATAGGTATGCGAAGAACAAAGATGTGAAGATCAAGTGTTTCCATTATCTGTTAATTTTCTAGACAGATTTTTATGTGCTTGTGACATATCCAAAACACACTTACAACTCACTGGTGCAGTGTGTCTGTTATTAGCATCAAAAGTGCGACAATGTACTGCGCTTTCTATTGAACTCTTGTGCTACTACACAGAGAATAGCGTCACTCCAGAAGAGATGAGGGTAAGTCTTAAGAAAAATTATTAGATAGAATTCTTTTAGTTCCTGTGTATGTGTACAAATAGATGCATTGTAGGTATATGAATATTAGAATATTGTGGTTTAGTCTTCGAAGGAAGTCGTTTCGGTCGGCTGTCTTTTCCACAATATCCTGCGATCATTATCTCAGGGGACAAAAAAATGATTAATTGCAGCTGCTTGAATATTATATCACAAGAAAAACCACATTGCAATTAAGGCGTAATACTTCGTTTCCTCGAAATCCCTAGCTTTTATTGTTGTCATCTCCGTCTTATTGTCGTGTGTTCCGGTTTTGTCGTCCGGCTAATAATAATAAAATCAGTCACGGAACTTGTCTTCGACACACGATATTAAGTTCTTTGGTCCTACAGAAACTACAAAATTAGGCAATTAATAACGAATTGTCAATGTTATGATCAGGAGGGAGTATTCTTGTATAATTAATTATTTCCTGGTCGAGCTGATGCGTTTCCGATTCGGTAGTTATATACAATGTATACTTGCTGTGTGTACATAGAACATATCTTAAGTCCTTAATAAGATAATATAAGGCAATTTGATTCTATATCTGCTATCTTATTTTATAGGTTTATACAATACTATCAAAACCTGTTTTATTTTATTCGATGATTAGGTATATTAGTAATTGTGTGTGCAATTGTCGAACTGAAGAAGTTAGGACTACCTAATATTATTTCATTATTTGTATTCTGTGGTGAGTTCACATACAATTGTGTAGGTACTAATTTCTACATTTATTTTCGTATTAAATATTAAATTAATTAATATTAATGTAAAATACATTGTCATCTATATCGAATACCTACTACCTACTTCTTTACTGACTGTTAGTGACAGGTTGTAATTATCGTACAATTATGTTAACTTCATTGATATTTGACAATAGACAAAAGATATTATATGCTTCAAGTATAATTTAATTTTTAATTGTATATACTCAATGTACAATTTTAAGTCATTGAGTATAATAATAATTGCACTTAATTAATAATTATGTTTGACATTTATGTGGTGTAGTAAACACCTTGGGCAATATCGGCAACTGAGCCATGTGTACATGTGTCCATTATTTTTATTGCGTTTGTTTGTCCAGCAAAGGTCCGGTCCTTTTTCTCAACGATATCGTGAGAATAATGCCATTTTCGTCGCGATTTAATGCAGCATATTTATACATCGGAAACACGTTTGTGGCCGCAGGGACAGCTTACTTATACGTATATTGTATATTATACGTATACGACGGGCGTGTCAAATATTTTTTTGAAATTATTATGCGTCCTACAATGGAAACATTTATAACACGTACATGTTTGAAATGTTGCCTGCTATCCGGTTTTTAGGTTTATGAACGGGGCAGTGAACTAAATTTTTTTTGTTTCCTACCCAGGACTACTCACGGTCAAATGTCCTGCACGAGGTTCTCTGCGTGCTTATATAAACATATGCGCACTTCCTCGTAAAAGCGTACATGTGAATTGGGGCGAATTCAACGCGCACTTGTATATAGCAAAATACAAATAGATATTTTATGTGGTAGGCAATGAGTATAAAAAGAAGAGACCGGTCAACGGATTAACCCGGTATAGCCGTATTGGTATACCCATACTACGGTTTTTTTGTGTTGACCTACGTTGCACAATGTTATTGTGATGATAAGGACAAACCTGTAGTTCGTGTTTGCCACGCAAGCGTGCAGTATATCCTGCGCATTTGCGCCACACGTCTTTGTACTTTCCCAGCTCCGAAAGCTTTTGTAAATCACATAATTATTATAGATATGAGTTTATTTCCAGTTTCTATATTTGTTTAGTATATATTATTTTATAATATGGTTAATTTTTTCTTTCAGTATACGAATAGGGTGAATAATATTTTCACGACTCACGAGTTTGTAGTTGTCATCATTTTTGAAGCTATAATAACATAGCACCTATAATAATTTCATTTTATCAAACCAAATTAAAGTTGTGAATTTCAGTGTATATAATAATACCTATTTACATTTATTTAACAAGTATGAAAAAGGCTTAGAATACGAATTTTTGTTGTTGTCTGTTGATCATAATTTACCGATTAAATTTGTTCGTTAATACATTAATCCTTTTCGATTTTAATACATGAATTATTATTTCGTACATAAATCGTATAAATAATAAGTATTTTGACAGTTCGTATAGGTATTTTATTATAATAACGGCAATGATACATGGCGTAGGTCAAATCGGTGAACCATCACCGTGAAAAAAAGTCCCATGATAATTCCCTTTAGCCAATAATATTTCATATTTAATAAGACACATCGGAAGAAGTTATATTATGGAACTCGTCTAATGAGATTTGAATACTCAAAGGATACGTCCGCGACCAACCGGTACGGCTGATTCGTTCCGTGTCACCGGATACCCATTGATTACGACGCGCAATCGATAAATCAGCAAGATAATCCAACCCCTTTTACGCATTATATGCCCTTTACTAATGGCCGTTTCCCCGTACTCATTTTTAGTGACATCACACGTATCTGACTGGTTTATTCCGTTAAGTTCCTTAGAAATGCTTTATGTACAGTCACTGTTTTGAAACTTGTTTTATTTTTTAGCCATGTATTACCTAAACGTACCTAAAGCTAACCTAACCTAAGAAAAGGAATTTTCACATACCTAAATGTTTAGAATTTAGATGATACACCTATCATTAAATTTATTACAAATAAAATAAAAATAAATGTTTTCTTTCAAAACTTTCTCTAAAACATTAGATACTTCAACAAAATTATTTTTCATTTTATCAAATAAATGAATACGTATGGAAATTGGAAACTATATTATGATAACCATAAATAAAAATAAATAACCATGTAAGTAGTTTATTTATGATTTTTGGTATTATCTTATAAGTTATTATACTCATCATTTCAATATTGTATACGATAAAAATGTATAACAGTACTATCTATTTCTCCGATGTTCGTCGTTTATTTATATTATTCTCTTTGATAGCTATAAAATATATATTAAATCTAAAATACTACGAATAATAAAATATAATCAATTTCAAAACATGTGTTGGATTCTGTAGTATAATTTTCATGTACATAATAATGAATTATATAAAAAGAAATAGCTTAACAATATTCTTATAACGCTGTTATACAATATATGTTTTTATGTTTACCAAATGAAAACTTATTTATTCACTTGAATTTTACTTAAAATGTGTCTTTGGGTTTTAAATTTAAATTAATATTATTAAGTATATGTAAGTAAAAATATTTGCTTTTATTTTTTAATAATTGTATACAATTTGTTAACTTTATTATATACATAATAAACATTTTTAATCAGTATCTATATGCAACAACCTTTATACGGCTTATATATTATGTGATTTTGTATTACCGGAAATTAATGCGTCATAACAATATTTCAAGGATTCTTAAAATTTGTCTGAGTTTGATGACCTAGTTAATATAGGTCAATATAGACTATAGTTTCCTGTCAGAGTTTTTAGGAAATAGAAATTCTTTTATTCGAACATAACGGCATTGTGTGTAGGTATAAGGTATTCAAGTATTCAACCCTTCAATCCTTTCCCACACACTGTACACTGTACATATTTTTTTTTCAATAATCTTTTTCAATCGAACCTCTATGGCCTAATTACAATATCCTGTTGTATTAAATAAGATGGTATTCTATTCGTGATATGTAAATGGACAAGTTGTATGTCGTATATATCGATTACAAAACACCCTTTGTTAGACCAAACATTTTAGTACACCAACCCACGCTATTTGTCGGGGTCATGGTTTGCTAGACATGTGTTTAAAATCATCTTTTTTTAGTAGTATACAAGGATGTTTATGTTCAACTTGTGGTCGCCATACAACTGTTATTCCTAGTTTCCTGATGGATTCTTCTTTTTCCCTTATGCGTCCATCGTAACAGGCAATTAGTTCCACCGAAAGTATTATTATGTTTTCACTCTTTTCAAAGAAAAACTTGATATCTATAATACCACAGGGACTATATAAAATGATAAACAATTTATTAGGTTCACATCAAATGTTTTCCCATGTACTTATGTAGTTATGTATGTCCTATGTATATTTTTTAGTTTTTACGCTCGACAGCTCGGAAACACTGCAACTTATATAGGTATACTAGGTATAGAGTATAGACGTATAGTCATATGTGTACCCTTGCGGCAATGCTAAAAGAAAATATTCCAATTTTAGTGAATATTTCATAAAATATTGGTTGATTAATTGAATAATGTCTAAATAGTGTAATTGTATAATTTAAACTCCCATAATTTAGTTTTTACTATGTATAGCTATAATTACAAAGATTCTATAATGTTTACTTTTAAACACATTAAAATAAATGTTTGAATTGTGAACAGTTAGCCTTATTGGGACTAATCTGTTATATCATAAATAAATAATTTCGTTGAAGACAAGAGTCACAAAAATATTGAAGCTTTTGTATTTGGGTAATTAAAATGAAAAACATTAAAGATACACAAAAGACAGGATGGACGATTTCCAACATGTACGAAAACAATAAACAATTTTTCACGGACCTGTGGCTTCAAAAGCGATGTGTAATTGTAGACTTATTGCATGCATGAAGGGTTAAACATTTTTCCACCCTTATTTAGCCACGGTTATCAGTCACGGGGAAGCCATCATCTTGTAAACGAGCTTGTAATTTGTCCACATTTACTGGATCATTGTTTAGTCAGCTTGGTGCATTCATGAAAATATAACTGTAATATGCAAATTTTCATTAGTTATAGAGTTTGAATGTGAACCGTTTATAACATCTTAAAAGCCATAATTCCTTAAACTAAACTGGTTGGTGAAGTAATAAGAAGCAGTAATTTTTTATACTAATTATTATAAAAAATGTAATTAATTAAAGCGAGTAAAATGTACACCAATCAACGTTCTTTCTGGCTTAAAATGTTTGTCATTTAGAAATATGATTATGATATTTGTATACCTTCCGACTTGAATTTATAATATACTTTAAAATTATTATACGAGAGGCCGTACATTTTGAGAGTTATTTATGATGAATAATCGACTTTCAGAAAAATTGTTGGTCATATTACTTATTACTTATTAGTTATTGTATTTTAATCAATATTATCTATAAAAGTATTAGTAAGTATCTAATAGTATTAGGTAGTGTCAGCTACTCTTCTTTTTGTGGTTTTATTATTGGGGTCTAGAAAGTAGTCAAAGTTTTCAATAAGATACAAACTTCTTGTGTTATTATGTGTCCATGAAAATATAAACATTCCTCCAGACATAGTTATGAGTGGAGTTTTAGTATATTTTTATGGCGTGTTTGTGCACAAGAATCAATATTATGATAGGTACCAGAATAAATAGGTCTAACTTGTCATGCATGGCTTATAATAATATGTTAATAGTTAGGTATACTCAAAAAATGTAAGTTTAAATTAAAGATAATTAATTACTTAGTACTCGTACAGAGACCATACAATTTTACTGACCCATTTATATTTTTTTTTCACTTTTGACAATAAAAAAAAAATTTGATTTTAAAAGTATAGTACATAATTATTATGGTTCAGGATTAAATATTATCGTAATAACAAACAATATTAATTATTTATTATTTTGCTTGTTTGATAATAACTTCCAATGAACTTTCCTTGCGCCGCTTAATTATTTCTCAGTTATCTGCACTCTGCAGTGCCCAAGTTTATAGGCTATAATTATTTTTTAACTTCGCATAGTTGTTCAGAACAGGTTCCGCATCCGCCGCAGACGAGATAATTTCGAAACCGTACTTACTCACTACTATTATCCGGAACAATACCCATTGGGTTTCAGTGGGCTGTCTGGAATTTCGCAAAGAAATGAGCAATAAAAAAAAACCAGGAGCTAGACGTCTTTTATTGACCTACCTTAAAAAAAAATCGTACTGACTGCAAATGACGAAACTGACTGCGGGAGACGATAAAACCCACGGATTTCATTATTCGTATTTGTGACTAGGATTAAGAAATATTCCCCTTTAAACACATTGTGCATAATAGAAATATTAAAACATTAGTCAACTATATGCCCTGCCTTTATTTTATTTTTTTATTGAACACATTTGTGTTCTATGTAACAAGCCATTTTTCAGTTATCATTAATGATTTAAAATTTAACTATTTAATGTATGTAAAGTATTTATTGTGTATTATATTTCTTGTGTCGATTAAAATCATGTTTATTATTTTAATTTAGTACAAAATATATATCTATAAGAAAAAATAGTACTTTAGTGTGATTATAGCTATTGTTTAATATTTTTAATATTCGTCAACTGTAAACCTTTGAGTTACATAGTTTATTATTATCAATTCCGCTTTTATTTTTGTATGGGAAAAAATTGTGGTAACATAACAGTAAAAAATATTTACTTTCCCCTTTGCATATAATATAACAAAAGAGTTTATATTATGTGTTCTGTACAGTGAGTTGTTTAAAAAACTACTTTAACGTATTCGTCGATACAATGTTTTTAATTGTTTATCGTATTGTTTTAAACATCTTTTGTATTCGCGAATAAAAATCATGAAACCAACGATAAGACAGATTAGGGTGGCAAATTTAGTTTCGCAATTTCCCCTTAATTCACCCTCTCGAACCCACTGAATCGTTGCCAACCTTCCAGACGTTCGTTACATTAAAAAAAACTCAAAATTGGTACATTGAAAGTTTCAGAAAAATTATGTATCGACATGCGCGTTTTTTTTGTAAAGGCTCCCCTCCAAATTAAGACTTCAATGATGAATAAAAAGTAAAAAACGTTAAGAGGATGTTAGTGCAATATTTGTTTTTTCCCAGCGCAACATACACGTTTGAGTAATTTTAGAGTTAAATCACCTATTACAAAAAATATATAGGGTGCAATATTTTGGAGGGTTTAACATATCGGTTTTATTATATGTATTATTATTATTAGACTTTGTATTCAACTTCTAAATAGAAAATTTTTTAATTTTAATGTTTAACCTTTGACAGTATTTTGACAAATCAATATGTCATACACAAAAATATTGTTGTCTATAATTTTTGTGATGGGTGATTTTACTCTAAGATAACAAAAAAATTTAAAAAAGATTCTGTGTAAATTTGTTTTGTCTATGTGGCGTAGATCAGAGAGAAAAACAAATATATAGTGTGCTGACATCCTCTTAAATTACAGTTATAAATAAATACAAAAATATATTTTACCTATACTTGTTTGGACTTAAAATTATTAATATTTAAACATTTGATTAATTCTAGGAATGGGAGTTGTTAGTTATTTCTAAATTGGAATGGAGAATTGTAGCAGTCACCAGTTTCGATTACGTGGATCACATTATGGAACAAATTAAGTGGAAAAGGCGGAATGATTCGATGCTTAGGAGGCATATGTTGACGCTCATCTCCTTCTGTTATATTGGTAAGTACTGCTGATTACCTTGTCATATTATATTATTTTATAAGCAATAGCCAATAGACAATAGTGCTTATACGGATTTATAATACATTTTATCGGAGATCAACGACCGAAAACTAGGTGACATTAAACTAATTTAGCCCACGTTTGTTTTATTAGTAATTATCACACGTAAATATAAAATAAAACATAAATTTAAAAAAAAAAACGTACATTATGATAAGCCATATTGTTGTAACAGTTGTTCCTAAAATGCGGACTTTATAATACGTACCTCCGTGTTTTTCTTTTAATTCAATACACTATATATAGGAACCAGAGGAAAAAATTCGTCATGTATCCAATCATAATAATTATAGTAAACATTGAAGATGTCAATGTATACAGGTGGGATTTATTGTTTGGTTTTCATTTATTTTGGAAATGACAAATTATTGTCCTTCAAAGACACGAGTAGTTATGATACTACGTAGTTACCCCTTAAATATTATACGTAACAATTAATAGTAGTCGTAGTTGTAAGTGTATATATATATGAATAAAATGCAGTATTCGTTGACAACGTTTCGCTTTCCGCGGCTATTCACCTCGGTTGCAATGTCAACGCGTTAATTTACATGTTTTCGGTTTACAAACGAACTAAAACATTATTTAACGATTATTCATATGCGTGTGTCTAGCTCGGTGGCGTTAACATAAACATCCAAGGTCGGTTTGGGGCTTTTAAATCGAAACAGGAAAAAAAATATAATGAAACACTGTTTGGAAAACCATGAGTAGAGGGTTCTTCAGTAATATCGTTATCTATGTACCTATTTCTATTTTTATGTGCAGTGCAAAAAATGTGGGTTTAATAAACTTATAGAGTTATATTTAAAATTTTCGTTTCGCCAATTGTACCAGGCGTCCTAATACGTTACATGATTAATTTTTTTTTGTGCAAAACCTGTAGGTATAATAGTGATAGTATGATCAACAAAATAATAATATATTAATTTTCATGGCGTTCAATAACCTCGCAATTACAGTAATTATACAGCTCCTATATCATTCAAATATAATACTCTTCACTAGTTATATAATGCGTGTTCAAAAGTATATAGTGTTTTAATATTTTAATATATTCATTGTCATTCTTTTATTTCGACGAATTTGACGAAAATGAGTTTTAAATATTTCACACATATCTACTAGTATACAGTACATACGTACTCGTATATAGAGACTTAAATAGTGGATATTGTTTGATTCTTTTTCGGTATTTGTTTTTGTATCTAAAACTTTTCATTTCCGCGCAATACAAATCTTCGTTTAAAATTATATCTATTTATTCTCTATTTTATAATGTAAATAGATAATAATAATATATTATCTTATGTACGTTGTTGTACAGGCATTCATTGAAAACAGACTCGGTTATCTTTTATAATTTTTTTCTAAAATAAATCATATAGAAATAGGTATTGAAATCAAACATGCGCCTTGTAAAATTATAATTGTTCAGATAAAATAGTTACAGAAGGCAGACGCAGCAATGTTCAATATTTCTTTGCGAACGGTCGAGACATTACTGATTACTCTATAATTTATAATCTATATCATATTACTGCATTAGAATATTTTGCTTAGTAAGTCTTATGCTCTTAAATATGGGTTTTAGTTCGATTTCCAATTATTGAGAAGTCCGCTTGCAGCAGTGTCTGTGTCGAAATAAAGTTTTTACACATACATGTTGTGCTTCGGGCCGGTTAATATAGGCGAATTTAGTTTTGCCCCCCCACACGCCCGCTGACTAACGGGAGAGTGCTACGTTATTTCGCAGCTGCTCTGTGCACATTGTATACTATTATATATAGGTATGAAGCTATTGTGCGCACACAGGTACCATTCGTATGGCTACTGCAGGGCCTTTCACAAACAATATAAAATATAAATAGTAAAGAGCGAAAGACCTTTAAAAAAAAAGCAGATAGGTTAGGCTTCCCCCCTATTTAGCACGCGCTGTATGCTTCCCCATTCCCCTCTGACAGTATTCTTGCTACCAGTGTGTTTTGATTTAGTAAATAGCTCCGGGACTTACGCCTGAAAAATGAACGGAGGAGTGGGGATTACACATCTGCCGCTAGACGAATTTCTATGCACTATATTATTATTATGCATGTCATTACACGAAGTTGAACAATCTAATTAAAATATATCGAAAGTATTCTACAGTGAATAATATTTATTGTTTGGAATCCTTACGCCTATAATGGTACTAATATTATTTACCAACAGTCTGCGTATTTTAGTCAAATAATTATTGAGTTGCATTAGGTATGCCGTTTTTAATAATATTAATTTAGTGTCATTGTATCCATGATATAAACAACTTAAATCTTTAATTAAGATCGATAGATGCTTATTGCATCTTCGTTAAACTTGACAATAATCTGATTGTTGTCACTTGTCTATTGTTCGAAAGAAGATTTAATACCAAGATAATAATATTATAGTTTTATTTTTGAGTTAAGTTATTTATGACTCATTATTATAACATTTCGAATTACAATTTGTAACAAAATAGTCTAATTATTTTAATTTTTCATGCGGGTCAAGTCTGGCATGAATCACTGGAAAAGGGGAAATATTCAAGTAATTAAATTGGCGATGGTGTTTAATTAGTCGTAGTAATTTTGTTTTTATACTGGCAGTCACGTGTACTTTTGAAGTAGAATAACTATTCATCTATAAATGGAATACGGATACTTATTGTTAGTTTTATATTATCATAGTTAGATTTTCCTTCGAATGTCAGAATGATTTTTGGCACCTATAGGGGCAAAATTAGGGGGAAAATAATAAGGGAGAAAACTGATTAAACAGGTATTACCGTGCTATATATTTATGCTCGTCGTTTAAGTGGATTTTTAGGATGTAATCATTTTGGTAGGTAACAAGTCTGTAGACTTATTTGTTTTTTCATAAATCAGCATCTTCTTATTTTGAATTTTCTGTTACTATTATCAGCACCTGTATTTTATGTCTCGGTAATAAATAATAATATTCAGAGCCGCGGCCTAGTGTAAAAGAACAGTTACCCCTGTCAATACAAGATATTTTCCCAGTTTATTTGTTTCGTGGTTAAAGATTATGTATTTATGAATTAATTATGTGTACATGAAACTCGTGCTCTCGATTTTTCGTCGTTCAATTATTATAAAATAAATACATAGGTATCGTTTCATCTGAATATAAATAACTACCCGAAATCATCATCTGGTGGCTGGTGCTAGCGGTGTAAAACTATATTATAATAAATAATAAACCAAATGAGTACAAGTATATACAAGCCACCTGTAAATATTGTTACTTGTTAATACGAATATATAGGTTTATTATTCAACAGGGCCGCTACCACCAACCCCCCCTTCATCATCGTCGGAAGTGTAGGAAGTATATTACATATTATATAGACTGATGTCTTTTAGCCGGTGGTTAATGCCAAGGGTAATTTCCTTGGGCTCGGACAGACGCACGTGTTAAGACACGTGCTGGTTATTGAACCTCAGGGTAAACAGCCTTGGTACAGTTATTGCTCGTCTTTTTAGGCTCGTATACGTAATATATACGTATAAATATAAACACATTGTGCGCATAAGAACTTAAAAAGAAATTTGTTGTCTGTCCTACAGATGTGTCGGTGGCGATGACCTCCATTTTTTAAAAGTGTACACTCAAATACTATACCTACCTACCTATTACTATTTTATCATACTACTACTACGTACAGTTTACTATACTATACTACAACTGCGACGATTACTATACGTACTCTAACGGTAGCAGCTGTACGGCGGCAGACGGTGTGGATCGAGGTGAATGCGGGATGTTTTAATGTCTTGTTGGTTTTTTTTAATTCCACCGTAATAGAGGAAGTGTTTGAAAAAAAAACAAAAGGACAAGGTGCATTTGATCGAGATGGAAAGCTTCTGTCATGGTGGCCACGTTAAAATATTACTTATTCTATAGGTTTTTAAAATTCAATTGTACTCCGAAAACCCCTTGACTGGATACAAAAACGTCCTGGATAAACTTAACCCATTTTTGAGGTTCAAAAACCTCTCTTGACAGTTTTATACAAAATATGTTAATAATAACAACTAACAATAACTTATAAAATGTTTACCATAATAAACAGATAAATGAAATATTTTACATAGGTGTAACCTATATTATAATTTACAACACAAAAATAACAACATATAACACGAGGTAATATGTAAAAAAAAAATTTTAACATACCCGTATCATTTTTACACTCTTTTGCCTTTACTTAGATATTAGAATCTTATTGAGATGAGCTATAATAATATATTGTATAGCTAAAAATAACAGTAATCATACTACAACAAACTTAACAAACTTATTATACAACTTATACTCTAGAAGAGTTTAATATAATTAATTCGTGGTTTACATTTTATATCTATAGAATTCATATTTTTTTTTTCTGAACACATACTATAATTAATAACAAGATTGCGAAGGAAAATATTGTAAAATATAAATACTCTGTATAGTATAGTATAATATAACATAATTATATGTGTTGCTTACCGCGGTGTTATCATTTATTTCTAATTATCTGTTCTAATGGACCGTTCGGTTTGCCCCTGTTTAAACAAAAACGTTATCCCAGTTTTTACCAAATTATCGCTGTTGTATAAGTAAATAGTTTTCCCATATATATGTACAGGAAATGATTATCAATTTATCGGATTCGTGAAACTCGTAAGAATTTTCTATTTTTTTTTGTTTTATCTATTACTCTCTATATTTACGACTGTAGCAGACATTTTATCGTTTAATAAATCGACGATCTGTATCGGAGTCACCACGTGTTATATACCAGGTGTATGACAGAGAGAAATTATACAAGCGTTGTATGCACCTACCTCCAATAGTGCTGCTGACGCTGAGGGAACAAATCCAAACATTGCAGCTGCTATCCTCCTCCGGGC